CTTTCTTTGGAAGCTCGGGCTGGAGGAGAGACTTTTCCACCACATGGAACCCCTGAACCAGGTCTGGGTTCCACAATGTGGGGAACTTTTTGTTCCTTTTTTCACAGCACCAGGGGCCTGCTGGCAGAAGGAAATCCCTGTGCAATGGCAAACAGGACCCAGGCAGAGTTTGGCACAATTCTCTCTGCGTGTCCACAAGCTGTGTGAAGTCCATGCTCACCTCCACTCTTGGGTGGGGAAGGAGCATTAAATAATATCCTCATTGTCTCTAGAAAGGAGTTTCAAAAGAAAGCCCTGGATCTAATATTTTTAAAGGTCAAATTTAATTGCAGAGATGTTTTGGGACTTCCATACTTGCAAGAGATGGAAACTTTAGGGTGTGGGGTGTAAGTTTTTGTACCATCCTCTGATGATAAAAATACCTTTCTACCCAACAGAAGTGCTGACTCTGAGGGCTCATATTCAGAGGTGTTGTGTCTCCTGTTACCACATTTATTTTTATTATAGCCCTGTAATTATGGAAGAGCCCCTTCTGTTTCCTTTTCCTTCACATATCACAGGCTGGGAAGCTTTTGATGGGAAAATTTATCACCTATGATGAAACAAAGGGCAGAAGGAACAGAGCTGGAGGCTTCAATTTCCACATCAAGTTTTGAGGACTTGAAGCTACAGCAAACACTGCCTTTGGCATTTTAAGTTTGGATCTGGAGGCCAATAAGCAACAGCAAGAGTGAAATGTTAAAAACAAAAAGAAAAAAAAAAACACCAAAAAAAGGCAAAAACCACCTACACTACCAAGAAAAACCAAACAGCAGAAGGCAAAGCTCTCTCTCTCTGGAGAAAAGATGAGGAAAAGAATCAAACCTCAAAAAGGTGGGGATTAATCACCTTGTTTAGTGCAGCACAGGAGGTTCTCAGAGGCTGCAGCAGAACAGATGCTACAAGAAAGACTCCTGTAATTTCGATTTTATGATTCCAGGAATGATAAAAAGGAGATGGTGCCGAACTTTATGCAGAGGTGCACAGAGACAGAAGAGGGGTACAGATACAAGGAAAATTTCAGCAGGACGATCCTGGATTCCAGGAGCTTTGCACTCTGGGGCAATTCCAATCTCTGCTCTGGGACAGGGAACGCTGGAGATCAGGAAAGGTTCTTCCCTGGCCTTGCACATCCATAGGGAGTGAGCAGAGCTGGCCCAGGGCCATTCTGGGTGTCTTTGGAAATTCTTTGAAAAATGCAGTTTCAATTACCCCCCAAAAAAAGGGGTTTTAAATTTTAAATGAAAGCCAGTCATGGAACACCATGGACATAAAGTTCCCTGAAATCCAGGAAGAAATAATGAGATGAGAGAGGCTTTATTAACACCTTGGTGAGGAGCCTGCAAGGACACCTGTGCCAACAGCTGCACAAGGGGAGGAAATTTCAGGCGAGTAGTAATTCTCCCCCGTGACCTGCTCTCCTTGAAAACAGCAGCAAGATCCTTCAAGGAGACTCTCAAGGACAACGTGTTCCCAGCTGAGGAATAAGGTGACAAAATCTGAGACCCACAGCTTTTTTCCCAGGAAGAGGCAGATTCACCCTCTGGATCTCGGTGCTCAGGGAGGAGCAGGGGCACAGGAGCAGCACAGCTCCCTCTCTCCCTGAGGCTTTCCAGGAGAAGCCTCTTCACACCTGACCAAGCTGCAGCTTTTCTCTCCTTCCTCACAGGAGGTGCAAGGACTCGGTGAGGAAGCTCTGTCTCCAGCACCAAGGATCCCAGAGCAAGGAGATACCCACCATGGTGCTGGGAATCCATCCCACCTTCCCTCTGCTCTGGTGAGGCCCCACCTGCAGAGCTGCCTCCAGCTCTGGGACCAGCAGGAGCACCTGGAGCTGCTGGAACCAGTCCAGAGCAAACCTGAACCTGCTCCAGGGCTGGAGCCCCTGACCTGGAGCCAGGCTGGGAGAGCTGGGGGTGCTCCAAAGCTCCAGGGAGAGCTCAGAGCCCCTCCAGGGCCTGAAGGGGCTCCAGGAGAGCTGCAGAGGCGCTTTGGTGTCCCTCAGCAGGTGGTGCTGACTGGCACGACTTCCAGAGACAGCGTCCCTATGCCAAGGGGTGATTTTCGGCCAGTGCTGTGAAAGCTTCGTTAAATCAGCTGATAAAACCACGGGGAGAGGTTGCAGATCCTCCAGGAAGCAGTGCCCACCCCCCACATGTGTCATATCTCTAGCAGGGAGATTCTCATCCCTCATCTCTGCCCCAGCCTCACCTGTCCGAGTCACACCTCAGGTGGCCCCCAAATTCTTCCACAGGACAACAAAATCCTCAGTAGTGTTTCTTATGCAAATTTGCACCAGCAGACCTCAGGACTCTTTGCCAAGACTATCACCAGCATCCCAAAGGAGCAAAAAAGGAGGAAGGCCCAAGGATTAACGTTCAGCCACCGCTCCAGCAGGAGGCTGAACACACCCTGGGTATCACAAGTGCAAAGGTGTCACCATCAGGCTGACACATCCTGCAAACACACGTGCAAATCCAGAATATCACCCAAGAAAAAAGCTAGGAAGTGGCATAAGAAAATTTAATTATATTAAAAAAATATATAAAGCCAGGAAGTGTTTAAAACTGAGAGCATCTAAAAACCAACTTCCTTCTGCTGCTCTTGCAAGAGACACCCTTGGCCTTTGCCAGCTGATGAATCCCAGAGCAGAGCCCAGCACTGGCAGCAAGAGCTGTGTCCCAGCAGGTACCAGATGCTACAAAGCACAGCCCAGGGAGGCTGGCATGGAGCAAGTGGAATTCAGACCCTGAACTCCTCAGGCAGAAGGAGCAGGCTCCGTGCAGAGGCTGCTGCACCCAACACACCATTTCTTCTGAGAAGGCCCTGCCTCAATAATTGAAAATGCAATTGTGTTGTTTGGGCCTTCTGGTATCCAAACCTCACCTAATTTCATTTGCCTTACTCAAAAGCATTTTGTGATGTGATTTAAGGAGGAAAAGTTTGATACAAACACTTTTATTTCATTTCCAAGCTGTGCTGTTGGCAAAGGCCGTGCAAGCATCTCCTCACCCCACACCTTTGAATTAGGCTCCTAATTAGAGTTACCAGCTCCTTTTTGTCAATCACTTATGGATTAATTCCATTTCCAAGACCAGTGGCATCAGAAGCAGGTGCTGAGATCGACACTTCCTTCTCCTCTCATATTAATCCAAGCAGGAGAACTTCAGTAGGGCAGAACTTCCCCCTTTCTGCCCAAGCAGATGTGAAATGCTCAGCAGGCAGAAATAAATATGCTCCAGAAAGCCTTTTCCTTATAAATGCTGCATATTTATATCCACAGGGAGCTGGTTTTTGACATCAAAGGCAACAACAGCACCAAAAAAAGGCCAAACTGCCCCAAACGTGAGGTTCAGCACTGGGCAGGCTCTCAGGCTAGAATGGATTAAATGCTGCGTTCAGATACTGGATTTATCAAAAGGAGACATTGTGGATTTGGGGTTTAGACCTACACAGATTAAGGAGCCAGGAAGGATCCTTGCAGGATTTGCTGAAGAAAGAAGAGAGCTTTGGGAAGGGCAGCCCTGAGGGAAACCTGAGTGACCCAGTGCTGAAACCTCCTCCCCACAGTCCCTAAAATCCATCCCACAGTCCTTAAACCCATCCCACAGTCCCTCAACCCATCCCAAAGTCCCTAAACCCATCCCACAGTCCCTAAAACCCATCCCACAGTCCCTAAAACCCATCCCACACTCCCTAAAACCCATCCCACACTCCCTAAACCCATCCCACACTCCCTAAAATCTATCCCAGTCCCAAAAACCCATCCCACAGTCCCTAGAATCCATCCGACAGTCCCAAAAACCCCTCCCCACAGTCCCAAAGCCCCATCCTACAGTCCCTAAACCCATCCCACAGTCCCAAAAACCCATCCCACACTCCCTAAAACCCATTCTACACTCCCTAAAACCCATCCCACAGTCCCAAAACCTCATCCTAGTCCCAAAAACCCATCCCACAGTCCCTAAACCCATCCCACACTCCCTAAAACCCATCCCACACTCCCTAAAACCCATCCCAGTCCCAAAAACCCATCCCACAGTCCCTAGAATCCATCCGACACTCCCTAAAACCAATCCCACAGTCCCTAAACCCATCCCACACTCCCTAAAACCCATCCTGCAGTCCCTAAAACCCATCCTACAGACCCCAAAACCCATCCCAGAGCCCCAAAACCCATCCCACAGAGGCAGGGAGCTCAGGTCCTTCCTTCACCCCCCAGCTTTGGCCAGAGGAGGAGGAGCCCACCCCAGCCCCATCCCTGGGCTCCTGCCCTGCCCCAGTGCCTGCAGCTCTCCCAAAGCAGGAGCTGCTGCCCGTGGCCAAAGGCACAGCCCTGGTCTCTCTGCTCCTCCACGGCGTCCCCAGCACGGATTTTGAGGAGCCCTCAGCTGAAAATTCATCTTTGCTGCTACCAGACCTCAGTGATGCCATTCCAGAGTTGGTTTCTGACAGAAATCTCTTCTTTCTCAGAATACTGGCAGTAGTGGAAAGGAGCACGAAGAGATGATAATAAAATCATGAAATATATGTCTGAAATATATTCTTTTATAGGCAACTGCAGCTTATTTAACCAAAGTTCTGTGCTTCACTTAGCAGTGTCCATCTGCAGCATGAGAGAAATCCTATTTGGCCCTGGAGTCCCTTCCACACAGAGGAGAATCTCTGATTGAATTTGAGGATAATTACAGGGGCATGAAGTAGGACCTGTTATTAATCATACCAGAAGAATTCAAAGAATTCCTCATCAGTGCTTTCAATAAAGCTAAAGAAATCCCAAGCCTCTCCCCAAAGCTCCTGCAGTCCTTTTTCCAAAGCACTTGTACAGATATGGAGCATCAAGCAGAGAAAGCTAATCAGAACAATTCAAAACAGAAAAGTTAAAAGAAAAGACCAAGGGAAAAATAAATCAATGCAGACCCGTAGGCTTTTACCAACTGTTCTTTAAGTAAAATTAATTTGTAATGTAATTAAACTTCTCCCTAGAGGGACAGGTATAATTGAATTAGAGGTGCCTGGGTAGAGTTGCAGGGTTTAGCAGATCCTTTTCCTGTGCTCCTCTCCTGCTGCTACAGTTCCCAAAAAGCCTCCTCAGTTCATTCCTGAGCCCTCCCTCAAACAACATCATTGGAATTTTTGATTTCTCTCTTGCTCGGCATCACACCAGCCAGGCCCTGCTCCTCTGCAGCGATGTTCCCTCATCAGGGATTGACTCTTAAGCCATTTTTAAACTCTGCCTCTCCCAGTGAAAGGATTTTGCCAAGTATTTCCAGGAGTTGTCTGAAATCCCCTGGTTTGTGCTCTCTCCTTCTGCCTCTATCGAATGGATTTGTGCA